TGCTGGGCTCCCGGTGGGTTTTCCCTGCTGGAGGCGGTGAGTGGGGAAAGCCCGGCTTGCCCTGGGCAGGAGCAGGCAGCGGTGCGGAGCTGCCGGGCCCCTGCTTGCCTGTGCCACTCGGTATCACTGATTGCACCCTGCTCATCGTCCCCAAAATGAGGCTTGGGAAGTGTGCGGGGTCCCGCGTGTCCTCGGGCGCCTGCTCTGCCTGGGGTCCCTGAGAAGACAGCACCTCTGCAGGTGCCACGTTCCTGCCCCTGGGCAGGGCACGGAGCAGTGATGTGCTCACCGGGTGTCTGCTGGCCAGATCCAGCCCAAAACTCTGTCTGTTGCCAAGCAGCTTGGCTCTGATGGCGCTGGAAATGCACACCCAGAAGAGAGGCCCCAGGGAAAGGTGGGGCAGCAGCTGCCTCTGCTCCAGGCTGCTGGGTGAGGAGATGTATCCAGCACTGCACAGTATCTCAGGCTGTGTTACCTGGCACACAGGAGACCCACTTTTCCCTCCCATCCTCAGTTGGGACTGGGGAGAAGTGTGCTTATTCCCTGTTGGTGTTACAGGAGGGGTCTACAAGCCACGCTGGGGCAGGGTGTTTCCACTTCTCCCACTGAAGCCAGACCAGGATGCCATATGACAGGATTGAAGCTTCAGGGAAGAGGAGCATATGTGCCAGCAAGCTGGCAGAGGCGAGCTCCTGACTAGAGTGCTCATGAGGAAAAGGGTTTCCAGAGCTTGTGCCAAGTACTGATTCTGTGTATTACTCAGGATTTGAGGTTCCAAAATCAGGACTTGAACTCCAAGCAGCAGCCACTGCTTTGAGTGTTGGTGTCCCAGGACTGCAATCTTCTTGCTGGCTCAAACAAGGCTGTACATGTAGTATGATACCCTCTAGCATCAGATTTGTCACGTGGGGATGGCATCTGCCAAGTTTCTCTGAGAACTGGAGTTGCAGGGAAGGCCTCTCCAGCTGCTGCTGGCTGTGGGACTGATGCAGCTGCAGACCAGGCTGCAGGTGTGGTGAAGCTGTTCACCTGGTAGCCAACTCCATGGTGAGGGCTCGCAGCCAAAAGCATTGCTAGGGGGTAGGAGAGGAAAGGAAGGGAAACCAGATTGCTGGTCATCTTACCTAAAAGATAAGGGCCCTGGCTTTGAGACCCCTCTTCAGCCCTCATCTTTGAAGCAAGGTCCTTAAAATAAAGTCCATGGTCCATGACTGCTTGTTGTATGACATCCTAGAAGTTCATCTCTTCTGTGCTATTGCTGGAGGACACAAGAAACCTTGAACTTTGCACTCTGTTCTTCTGAAGGTTAATGAACAGTACAAAGTCATCCCCTGCCTTTACTGTGCTGTGGCACCACCCTTGCTGAGGGGAAGGATTTATTTTTAATTTTAAGCACCTTGATAGTAATTGCTGAGCTGGCATTCCCTATTGCGACATCACATCAAGAGAAATTGTGTCCATGTTCACTACCCACCACTGAAGTGCAAGCTCAGGAGTCTGCCTGTTCCTCTGTACAGCGGCACCATTATGTGTCAGTGCTGGCAGCAGATGTTATCCCAGCAAGTTACAGGTCATTTAACTTGGACTGTAAGCATCTCAGAACAGTGACCTTGTGCTTACCTTGCTGCCACGGGCATGTTAAGCATTGCAAAAGTAATAAATGGATTTTGTGTTTGGAGTTTCAACGTTCAGGTTGCTGGTCTGCCCTCTGCTCTGCAGAATGATTCAGTCCATGCTGTGACTGTTTCAGCACTTTAGGGACAAAGAACTTGTGCAGTTCATTAGTCATCTCAAGCTGGAGTCTTCCACAGGAGTTCCTCTTCAGCCAAGGGCTCCCAAGCCACCTACAACAGGCCTGAAAGTGTTTGATTTACAACCCAGGCCATCTTTCACCCAATCTTCCCTGGGCTCTCAAAAGAAACAGAAGCTTTTTTTCCTTTCTGAGACATTCCTGACTTTAAAAGCTGTCAGATCTGTACTGCAGCTGAGCTGTATCCCATCCCATGCAGGTTAGGCTATGCCTGACTCCCCATAAAGAGCTGGATAACCTGTGACTCCAGGGACAGTGAGATTTAGTCCATACTCTCACTTTGCAGCTTGTCAGGTGCATGACTGAACTGAGATTTCATCCTGCTGTAATAGATGTTAGTTGTTCAGAGCTTTGGGGTGGGCTTTTGACTCCAGGTGTGTTGCACCTGTCTCATCCCTGGTGCTAGCTTCTCCCTTTCGGTGTTCTCCCTCTGGTTCAGGTCTGGCAGTGGGCTGCCTAGGTTCTTGCTGATGGCTTCTTGGAGCAGAATAATTCCCCTTGATTCCTTTGGAGTGCCCTGCATGAGCCTTACTCCTCTGCAGCAGGCTCTGCCTCTGCCTGAATAATGCTGTGCCAGAAGGGAAGGCCAGGGGTGTGGATTTCAGGGGAGAGCTGTGCTGGGGGTGGGGCTGTAGCTGTACTCGGCTGCTGATGGCATCCCTGCGGTAGCAGAAAACACCATGTACTTCTCTCCAGTGACAGCACTTAACTATGGGTTGTACCTACCCTAAAAATAGGCAAGGAACTCCCTGTGGCACTTTTGTTAAAAGCTCCATTGATTTCTCTAGGTTTCTGCATGGCTGCCTGGCAGCTCTGGGAGTGTGTAAGCTGGACCCTTCTGTAACCAGTACAGAGCACACTTTTATTTTTCCTCCCCTCACAGCTGTGTCAGGGTCTTGCTTAGGGATTTGATGTTTGGGCCTGCCTGCCTCACTAGGAAATGGCATTTCTTCTACTTTAGCTGTTCTTGGCTTCTTTGACAAGAATTGTAAACTGAGGAAGACTGCAGAAACTGGAACACTTCAAACACAGTTTCCCTAGGAAGGCATTCATGCTGAGGAGCCAAGCTCACATTGCAGTTTGAGGAACTCATAGTACTTTAAATAAAAGGATGGAGATGTCCTACATTCAATTTAAATTTCCCATTTCTGGCTTTCTTAGAACTGTTAAGACACAATTCCACTGGCTTACCCATACAAAGTATGTTAAAGCACATGGTTTTTAGTGTATTTTAAAGTGCCCATTTTCCTAAAGACAAGGACATGAGGCTCCTGCTGCAGAGCTTTTCTCTTTTACTCCTTCTGTTTGTTGAGCTGTTAGGGCCTTCCTGCCTTCCCCTCTAGCCAAATTTGTCACTATTGCGTCTGCCACCAGCTCTCAGGATTGGTAATGCTGTAGTTCAGGATAGTAAAGCCGAACATACGTGTGTTGGGTAGCCCCCCAAATCTGACACAAGATGTGAGCACAAAATGACAAGTTTCTTCCATTTTAAGTAATTCAAAGGTGCAAAAAAACTTACTTAAAAACTGCCGTGGGCCAATTGCAATGCAACACTGAAGCTCTCTTGCTCAAGATTACCTTTGCAAAATGTGTTCAGAGTCAGTAACTTGAGACAAGGAAACTTGGTCAGTGTTGACACTTGTGCAAGAAGTTGGTGTGGTGCAAGTGCTGCCTTTCCTGCCTGTGTCTGAAGGGAAACCAAGCATCCAGGCAGAGTGCCAAGTGTGGAAAAGTGCAAATGCAGCCTCCTTCCAAGTACTCCCCACACACTGGGACAAGGGTGGCACTTCAGAGCAGAACCCTCCCCCTGAGTGTTGGCAGAGGTCTCGGGGCATGCACAGCCATGCCAAGGGCTTGCTGGGGAGATGTGTAGGAATACTGCAAACTCCTGAAGCCCAGCCCTTAAGAGTGGCAGTCTCCTGTGCTTGCTGCAAGTGAGCCTCAGGGCACTTACAGCTATGCAGTGTTGCTGTGCTCTTGTGAAGTGGGAGGAGGTATTTTATAGCAAAGTAGTCGTGAGGGCTGCTGTGTGACAGGAATGGCTCTGCTGTTTGACCCCTGCTAAGGCAGGAGGGCTGTAGCCACCTCCTGTGCATACTCCAAAGAGCAAAACGGAGTGGGGAGACACACAGACACACCCATGGCAGCTATGACCCTTTGTGGGATGGGAGGACCTTCCTGCTGGAGGCATGAGGCTGGGAGGGCTAACTGTGAGCAAGGAGAGCTGGGGGCCATCTGCTTATTTGCAAGATGTGCCTAAGTTGGCCAAAGGAGCAGGAGGTTGCTGGGGCCTGGGGAGGACTGCAGGGTGTGCTGGAAGCTGATGAGCTGGGGCACAGCATGGAGGAGCCAAAGGGAGAGAGGAAGATGAGGGGTATGAGCGTAGGGGTGTGAGGGGGAGTGGGAAAAACCCCCCTTCTCCACTCCCCATCCCGAGGTCTAAGCCAGCCATTCTGCACTCCTGAAAACAATGCTGCTTTTGGAGCAAATGAAGCTGAGATCAGAGATTCCTATTAAATATGATTAGCCCTGAGGGAATGAGCCACCCTGCCTGCTGCTCTGTGGGCAGGAGGCCCAGAGGCATCCCAGATAGGCATAGGATACCAGGCCATGTGGAGTGGCATCCCCATTAGAGAGAAGTGCTGCAGATGAAATAAAGAGCAGGTGTGTCTACCTGCTGGGCTCTCTGCTTGGTGAAGAGGGAAAATGTACACTCTGTTTCCTACAACACACGCAGAAGTTAATCTTAGCCCTGCTATTCTGGATGAAAGACTCCTTTCTTACCTTAGAAGACACCTACACCATGTCTTAAACCAGACTGTTGGCATAGTGCAGAGGTCCCTGCATAATAAGCAAAACACAATGAGACTGACAAAACTAACCCTGTCCTGGTTTTATCTCAGGTTCAGGAACAGGCTTCTGCACAAACCACAAATTGCTGGCACTGTAACAAAGATATTAGGAAAAAATAAATTTACTGAAAGAGTGGTCAAGCACTGGAATGGGCTGCCCAGGGAAGTGGTGGAGTCACCATCCCTGGAGGTGTTTCAAAAAGATGTAGTCATGGCACTTTGGGACATGGTTTAGTGAGCATGGTGATGTTGGGTTTACAGTTGGATGTGATGATCTTAGAGGTCTTTTCCAACCTTAATGATTCTATGCAAAGCACCTAAGTGACGAGAAGAGTCAGGGTGGACATCCCTGATGCCATTGTGTTCCTTTCCAGTGTGTTCCATGGGAACCAGCACCAGCCGGCTCTACAGCGCGCTCGCCAAGACGCTGAGCAGCAGTGCTGTGTCCCAGCACCAGGACTGCCTGGAGCAGCCAGACTCAGCACGGCTGGATCCTATAGACCCCAAGGATTTGCTGCAGGAATGTCAGATCGTTCTGCAGAAACGGCCACCACGCTTTCAGAGGAACTTTGTGGACCTGAAGAAAAACGCTACCAGTAACCACCGCCCCATTCGGGTCATGCAGTGGAACATCCTTGCCCAAGGTAGGAGCTGCCTCTAAGCTCAAGGTGTGACCTGCAGATCAAACGCAGCAATGAAGACCTTTAAATGCAGCTGTGTCTACATAGTTAGGCAAGCCTGGGACTGGCAGAGCAAAGGGAGAGAGGTGGATTATGTGAGGCATAACTGACTGAGGACCAGGAGGGATGATTTTTTACACCTGAAATAGTGGCTTGCCTTCTGTTCTGTAGGAAAGGAAAAAAAGATTTCTTCTTGCAACTGTGATGCCAAAGGTGGCTCTGAATGCCTGTTTTAACTGAACACAGTATATTCAAAAAGCTGTGACCCATCACTTTTAGATAGTTGTTCATCTCCAGAAAAGTCTCATCCTTCCCTAAGTTTTATTCTTTGTAAAAATTAGTTTTTATTAGTTTATCAGGGAACTATTTAGGGATTCAAATCTGTTACAGAAATTCTTGATTCTTCAAAAGAATTTTAACTGATTTTTTTCTCAGATCCTTAAAATTAAGGCTGTAAATTGACAGTCTCATCTTAAAACCTGTTGAGGGGGGAATCCCCCATGTAGAGACTGCCTTAACATCCTGCAGTTAAGTCATTCCTATCCCACTGCATTTTTTCTTAGGCTTAAGCTGTAGCAGCCACATTTGGAAGCACTTGCCACAGTCTAGTGACTTTTGGGAAGAGGGGGTAGAAGTCTTACTTATATCTGTGAAGGGAGGTTTATTGTTTTTCAGAGACTTCAGTGTTTTGAGGAGAGGTTCTCACACCCACTGGAAAACGTAGCACCCTGAAAGTCAGCAGCTGCTCCTGAAATACCCATTGCTTGCACGTCAGCTGGTGCACATGTTTTGCAGAGAAAGCAAAGTGTTGTGAAAGCCTCGTGCTGCTCTCTGTTACAGCCTCGTGCACTGTGGCAGCCAGCCTGCTCCCACGTGGGGCTGCAATCCACCAGTGGCTGCTGCAAGGTGGCAGCTGGCTCCTCTGCAAAACCTGGCCCAAGACAATCTGTAAATTCTTTTTTCTCTCCCTGCTAATTTCAGCTCTTGGAGAGGGCAAAGACAACTTTGTGCAGTGCCCCATGGAGGCTCTGAAGTGGGAAGAGAGGAAGTGCCTCATCCTGGAGGAAATCCTTGCATACAAGCCTGACATCTTGTGCCTGCAAGAAGTTGACCACTACTTTGACACCTTTGAGCCACTCCTGAGCCGACTGGGCTACCAGTGTACTTTCTTCCCCAAGCCGTGGTCGCCTTGCCTAGACGTGGAGCAGAACAACGGGCCGGACGGCTGCGCCTTGTTCTTCCTGAAGGAGCGCTTTGAGCTCGTCAGCAGCGCCAACATCCGGCTGACCGCCATGAAGCTGAAGACCAACCAGGTGGCCATAGCTCAGACGCTGAAGTGCAATGAAACTGGAAGACTGTTCTGCATTGCTGTCACCCACCTGAAAGCCCGTACTGGCTGGGAGAGGTTTCGGTCTGCGCAAGGCTGCGATCTTCTCCAGAACCTGAAGAGCATTACCCAAGGCGCGAAGATCCCTCTGATTGTCTGCGGAGACTTCAATGCGGAGCCAACTGAGGAGGTCTACAGAGAGTTTGCCAACTCCAGCCTCAACTTAAACAGTGCATACAAGCTGTTGAGCCCCGACGGGCAGTCGGAGCCTCCGTACACCACCTGGAAGATCCGGCCCTCAGGAGAGTGTCGGCACACACTGGATTATATCTGGTATTCTCAGCATGCCTTGAATGTGAACTCAGCCCTGGGCTTGCTGACTGAAGAGCAAATTGGGCCCAACAGGCTGCCATCATTCAACTACCCTTCTGATCACCTGTCTCTGGTGTGTGACTTTAGTTTTAATCAAGACCCTGACAGACTGCTGTAAGGTGATGGAATGCCACCAGGTATTGCAGTGTCTTTAACTCACCACTATTTTGTTTTAGAGAAAACTTCTGAAGCTGGAAGCTTTTGAAGGATGAGGAAATACTGATGACTAATCATTATGTCAGGCACTTGCTTGGAGTTACGCTTGCTGTTCAGCACTTGTTAATCTGGGGCCTCCAAGGGAGGAAGAAAGCAATCAGTGTTCTTGTAGTGTTCTTGCTGTGTCAAGGTTTGAAAACCAGAAGGCAAATGAGCTTTATCCTTTCACTAACCCCCCTGTTAAAGGATTTAATCCTCTAATGAATGTGGAAGCCTTAGTATTTAAACCAAAACACTTGTTTGTACAACTTGCCCTGACAGCATGCTAATTTTATTTATTTCATGTTAAGCTTGTGCAAGTACCAAAGGGAACAAGGTTCACCTACTCAGTGAGATTCTCTTAAATCTTCTTCTGTTCCACTCCAAAGGAAGTTTAAGGCCACTTAGACATGAACAAATCTAAGTTCATGCTGTACATTTACGTGACTTGAGATGATTATTTCATTAAAAGTGAATGGATAATTGTGCAGTGTGTGAGGAAGGCTCCCTCCATTAAGAGCAGGTGAGGAAACAGAGGCTAACTGCTCCACATCATATCCTCACAGTAATATCCCCACTTTTCACCTCACAGGTGAATGTGCTTGTGTCCATTACACATATATGGCACATAGGTATGTACAGTGACTGTTCCCCCTGTCTCTTCTGTGCTTCCCTCCAGAGGACACACCTAACCAAGGAGTATTTCCTCCTCTGCTTCAAGTATTACTTTTTAAAATGGTTTAAACTTGTAGTCTTGTCAATCTTGCTATTTCAGTAAAGGGCCAATCTTCATGTTGAAAGACTTTGTTTTATTTATCTTCAAAATCTCAAGCTACACTGGAACCTGTTAAAGGATAAAATTTATTTATTGAGAGAAGTTGGTGATCCTGCATCTGACTTGAAATCATACAGCAGCAGTGTTCAGGAGCCTCTTTCTGTGGGCCAGGGGAATTCTAGCTAAGCACCTAGGCTACAGCAGAGCTGTGTTAGTAGAGAACTCTTGTGCATGGAGTGGTGCTCATTGGTATGACATAGGTATTGCATATATGGACTGTAAACAAGCCACTATGCTGGAAAATGAGGGAGGGAGACAGGAGGGGAGACAACTGGAGTTGAGCTGACATTTAGATAGTTGGGAAAGATAAGGCAGAGCAAATAAAGCAGTACATCCATGTAAAGTAAGGCTGTAGTAACTCTGAAATGTTCCAGGTGTTTAATAATAAAAGTCTTTGGGAAAATAAGTAATGTCTCTGCTGCCACCTTTTTTTCTTTCCCTATCATATCCCCTATCATAAGTAGGTGATCTGTCTCAACCAGTGACTCTTTGAGCTTCGAGACAGCAGTGATGCCAGCCATTCCAGACCTCTCTCCCCCAACACCACAGTCCTAATCTTACATGTTGGTACGGCTGCTTTGCCTTCTGGCAACTGCTCCTTCTCAAAATTGAAATGCCAGAATTGCACTGCAAGTCTGTAGGGGAGGGAGTTACCTTTAGTGATGTTAAGCTGCTCTCCCTTAGCTAAAGATGAAGCCTAGACACTATACTACTGTAAATATTACTTTTTCTGACAGTTCTGTGGAACTGAGAACCTGGCCAGCACTGCAGAGCAAGGTGCAAGTATTCCTCCCTGAGGGCTGCTAAGCATGCCTAGCAGGGCTGGCTCCTCACAATAGGCAGCTCTGTTTGTCACTTTCTCTTAAAGGTCATGTGAAGAGCAAGAAACACCACAGGTACATGCTTTACACAGCCCATGAATTATTGTACTTCTGTTGCTGGTAAGTGAAATAAATACGGAGTCTGGCAACTGGAAGTCTCAAATTCTCACAGAAACACAGTTCCCTTCAGGCACACAAATGAAGTGCTGTGTTGCACAGCCAGAACACTCTGCACATGTTCCTGACCCTTGCAGAACGAGGGTGATGATCTGCTTCCAAGCAGTGGAACTGAGGCCCCTGTCAACCAGGCAAGGATTTGAAATTCCCCAGACGCAAAGGATTTTACAGCCAAGAAGCCTGACTGCACCTTGGGGAGTACTCTTAACCAGGCAGATGTGACTTTATCAACTACTGCCAGCTAGGGCCTCCTCCTTCAGCTGAAATTTCAGGAAGAGCAAACCTTGAAGTAAATCTGTCCCTGGAAGCCAGAAGGGGTGACTCCTTGGGAAACAATTCTGAACCAGAGATGGGACACTCCTAACACCCCACAGAAAAGCAAGACCTTTAAGCATCCTTGCCATAAGCATTTCACACGGGCTAGACTGAGACAGCTTCCTCATCATGGTGCTTGCTACCCTCTGTTGCTCTCTAAGGGGGTGAGATGCAGTGCTTCTTTCAGATTGTCTTCTCCAAGGATCTTCCCTCAAATATTCTTTGCAAGGAGAAGAAATAATTGACCATTAATGGATGTGTCTAGTCATCTATAGCTAAGCACTTCTAAAAGCAACACCACAATGTAGACCTGTAAGATGGTACCTTTAGTAAGTCAACTCATCGCTCATCTACCACAAAAGTCAAAATGGAAGCTGGATTTTCCATCCAGACCCTTTTGGCAGTTTTTAGAAGAAATTACATTTGTTGTAGAAGGCTGTAATTCAAGTCCAAGGATAATACTATACTCTAGAGTTGTATTTAAAACAAAACCCCCTCCTCACATGCAGCCCCCCGGAAAACCCAACAACAAAGAGCCCTTAGGCTGAGGGTGTCCCTCCCTGTGGTACGGTTTCCCCACTGCCAGGGCATAGAGCCATAGCGTTGATTATGGCAGGCTTTGTTTACCAGCAGGAGCTAAACTATGGCAGCTACAGAACCCCCACCATCACTCTCACAGGGTGATATGTGGTATCTGGGCAGTTCTTTCACCATTTTACTCAGAGTCTTGCCTTCATTGTTAACTCTTACAGAAGAAACCTAACTTAAAGGAAACAGCATGGTTTGTATGATATAGCCATCACTGCAGAGCTCTTCTGAAGTGGAAAGAACTGAGATTCTTATTTCACCCTGGCCACATGACAGTAGCTGTTCACTGCTTCATGTCCTTAAAGGGCAATTTTGAAGTAAAGGGGAGGATGGAATAACTGAAAAGGCTGGGGACACTCCCCATCACTAATATTCTTAAATTATCAAAAGCAATCACACATTCCT